ACCTGGTTTGCATGTATACTGGGAGCAGCTGGATTTCCTGGAAACAAAAACATGAAAAAAACCCCAAAAACCCTGAACTGGGACTAGGCCAAACAGACCCGAGAGACTGATCAACCATCCTATAGAGAGACTGCAAATCCACAAGGAGTGACTGCCTTGGATAATGACTGTGTCTCAAAACGAAGTCCTGCCAGTTTCTTCAACCCAGTGGCTAGAAACGGAAACCGCTGCTCGGGGCCAGGTTCCGTTCTGCCTGCCTCAATTCCATCTCAGTGGGACATGGGGTTCTTCTTCACTTCCTGTCCCAAACCGTTGTATGACAGAAGCGGTGTGCACTTAATCTAACAAACCGACCCAAGTTTGACGGAGCTTGAAAAGTTTCTAAATGGAATTACGTGACAGGGTGGTGTTAAAAGATCTCGATAGTGGTAAGCTTTGTTCAACAAGGAGCCCTCCCTTAACTTCAGGAGGAAAGACAACTTGCATGAGGAGAGCCCTGCAAAGCTGAGCCTTTTGTTTGTAAAGCCCCTTGAGGTTGTCCGTGGTTAAAGTGGACATATAGCTATAAGAGGTGTAATTACTGCTGGGCCAGCCGGGTTATGGAAGGGGAAGGATTTTCCTTAACTGTTCCCCGTCTGGGTAGCCCCTTGACCCATTTAGTGATCTGTCCTGTTCCAGGGTTCAAGACGTGTGTGCTCACGAATAACTGGATCGATGATGGCCCTCAGAAACACATCATGGCTCTGGCGCTCTCTCTGCTGAGACGGCATTTCGACGAGGTCATCGAGTCTTGCCGCATCGGTCTGAAGAAGCCGGACCCTCAAATTTACGAGTACACGCTGGGCCTGCTGAAGGCGAAACCGCAGGAGGTGCAGGAACAATTGACTTCTAGCTAAGGGCACGTGGCTTGGGCGGCGCGTGACGCCTGCTTTGGGGGGAGGCCGGGTGCGAGCGCCAGAAGCTCATTAGACAGGGGTATGTGTGGGTTGGGGAGGGGTGCTGGTGTCTGGACTGTGATCCTACCCTCATGCTTGGCTCCTGTTCAGCCACTTCCCACAAACCGCAGGAGGTGCAGGAACAATTGACTTCTAGCTAAGGGCACGTGGCTTGGGCGGCGCGTGACGCCTGCTTTGGGGGGAGGCCGGGTGCGAGCGCCAGAAGCTCATTAGACAGGGGTATGTGTGGGTTGGGGAGGGGTGCTGGTGTCTGGACTGTGATCCTACCCTCATGCTTGGCTCCTGTTCAGCCACTTCCCACCGTAAGTTCCTGCCCTCGTGTTCAGCCACTTCTCCCGAGGCCACACCCACCGGTGGTCATGACTCTCCGCCCCTTCCACCGAGGCACTCCGTCCATTGGCCGGTCTGGTCTCTCCGCCCCTTCCACCGAGGCACTCCGCCCATTGGCCAGTCTGGTCTCTCCGCCCCTCCCCTACCTGCTGCTCATGCTTCTCCATCCCTTCCCCCATCGCTCACTCACTCTTGAGGCGGGGCATAGCCTCATAGGGTCGTGAATGGCCCCAATGGCAGAGAGGTGCCAGAAGGGCTGGCAAAAGTCACGAGAGGGGATGGAGCCTGGGGAGGGAAGCTGATGAGTGGGGGCGAAGCACAGGTAGGGCCACGGGTGCGCTTTTAGCGGCAGCGCTCCAAAGGCCGTGCTGGGCTGTTTGGAGAGGCTCAGCCTCCCCTTACACCCTCTGCCCGTGGCAAATGGCAAAGCTTGCCAAAAGCGACACGTGGCGTTTGGGTGCCCAGCTAGCCACACACAACTCCCCAACTCTCCTTCCCCTGACTGCCCTGAGTTCTGACTCTCTCCTGAACCCAGGTTATTTTTCTGGATGACATCGGCGCGAACTTAAAGCCTGCCCGAGAAATGGGAATAGCCACCATCCTTGTCCGGGACACTAATGCTGCCCTGAAGGAGCTGCAGGATCTGAGCGGTGTTCAGGTATCCAGTGGCAAAGCACTATAGGAATCTGCATTTACCATCCCCTCCCTCTGGAGACAGACTTCAGCCTTGGGATTCCACACAGCTGGGTCCTGTAGAAATACAAGATTGGGACTTCTGCTCTTGCCTAGCATACCGTAAAATACAGTGACATTTCCACAGATTCTCTTTTGATCATAAAACAGGACTATGCAGCACTTTAAAGACTAACAAGATGGTTTATTCGATGATGAGCTTTCGTGAGCCAGACCCACTTCCTCAGATCAAATAGCGGAAGAAAATTCACTTCCACTATTTGATCTGAGGAAGTGGGTCTGGCTCACGAAAGCTCATCATCGAATAAACCATCTTGTTAGTCTTTGCTAGACCAGACTAACATGGTTACATCTCTATTACTATTCTTTTGATCATGACCTTTAGAGCGTCTTTGAGTGCTGCTCTAGGTGTGGCTGTGATGGTAGTTTTATTTAAAATCCCTCTCAAATTACATCCTTGGGCTAAAATTTTACTGCTTGACATTGAAGCGTGCAGGTCAAATACAGCTCCGGTTCAGATTGCTCCTGGCTTTGCTAAATGAAACCCAGAAAAATAAGGCTGCCTAAGCGAAAAGTGTCCATCTTGCTGATGGAGGGCCAAATGGGGCTGGCAGTTTCACTGCTGTCCTTCCAAAATAATTCAGTAGTAGTGATTTAGTTGCTCTGGATTAACAGTGGGATACATGAATGTAGAACTTGGTTCCGGTACAAAGCACCGTGGCGAGTGTAATACAATGGGAACAAAGCAGCTCAGCCCACAAGGGTAAACCCTGCCTTGCTCATCTGTTAGAGTTCTGTAGAAGAGGTAGCAAAATAAAGTTGGATGTGGAAAGATTGGGCAGATAAAATTCATTGAAAAAATCCTGTATGTGGAGCTGAGAAGGAGGCGAAGTCCGGTAATGAATTAGTAACTGTCAGGAACGGGAATAAGGCTTTAACGAGCATGGAACAAGGTTAATAGTGTGGTGCCCTGAGAATCTGAAGGAAGCATTTCTCACCTTTGCCACGATTGATTGACTCATGTTGATTTATTTAATCAGAAGCACATCGTGTTACCATCTGAAGAGTCCAAGTTTCCCTTGCTCATCCGTTAATATCTTGCCTCTTGCCTGCTGTCTGCCAGCACTCCTTTCTCTTCACCCTCCCGTCTGGTTTCCTTATAGCTACTACCCTTTCTCTCTGTTCTCTATTGGGATTAATGGTTCACCCAGCTATGTTAACAATTACTGGACTTTGCTATGCAGAAGTGTACTTTGTGATCCTGACCTTTAATATATGAGACAGATAAGGGGAGGCGAGGTCATATTTTATTGGGCCAGCTTGTGTGGGTGAAAGAGACAAGCGTTTTGAGCGCAAAAGCTTGTTTCTTGCACCCACAGAAGTTGGTCCGGTCAAGATATTGCCTCACCCACCTTGTGTTTCTCTCATATATTGTAACCAACACAGCTACAATGCTGCACACGTTATTTTTAAGGCTGTTCTTGATGTGTGAAAGTACTTATCACTCATAAGATGCTTTGAGATCTCTGGAAGAAAAAAAATCACATACGTGATCGTTTAGCTTAAATCCATGTTGATACAAAAATCCATATTGGGAATGCAAATTCTTTGATGAAAACTGGCATATTTTAAATGCCAAAAGTTAAGGTATAGGTGTGCTTGTCAAACAGTGGTCAGTATCATCTCGTTTTTTCCTGGTTCTCTCCACTACATCTTTGCTGTGTCTGCCTGTTGTCTCATCTTAAATTTGATCCCTACCCCAGAGAACAATCTTGTTAGTCTTTAAAGTGCTACATAGTCCTGTATTTTGTTTCAGTGGGCTGTGTCTACACTGGGCCACTTATTCTGGAAAATCAGCCGCTTTTCCGGAATAAGCTGCAAGCTGTCTACACTGGCCCTTGAATTTCCGGAAAAGCAACGACGCTCTACTGTACAAAATCAGCCGCTATTCCGGAAAAACTATTCTGCTCCCGCTCGGGCATAAGTCCTTATTCCAGAACACTGTTCCGGAAAAGGGCCAGTGTAGACAGCCCAGTAGTCTTTTCCGGAAAAAAGCCCCGATCGCGAAAATGGCGATCGGAGCTCTTTTCTGGAAAAGCGTGTCTACATTGGCCACAGACGCTTTTCCGGAAAAAGGGCTTTTCCGGAAAAGCAGCCTGCCAATGTAGATGCTCCTTTTCCGGAAAAACTGAAAACGGAATAGTATTCCGTTTTAAGCATTTCCGGAAATTCATGCCAGTGTAGACACAGCCAGTATGTATATGTGTTTGTACCACACCTAATGCAGGAGGGGGGTGGTCTATGCTTAGGGATTCCAGGCACTGCAATTAATGCCAAGCAGTGATTACAATTTAAACCAGTAGCTATACCTGGCATTGCTCAGGTCTTTAACTCAATTAAGGTTTCTCTTCCTTTGGAAAAGGAAAATGTACATGCTTGATTTAAATGCTTGTATTTTTCAAGAATATAGTCTTTTTATGAAGTTCCTTTTTAAAAGAAATCTGAAAAAAAAATTCCTGTTGAATTTTTAGTAAATTTTAAAAAAATGGGGATTCCAGCCAGTTTTTTTCTGCATCTCTGTAAACTCTCATCATTTGCTGTGTTTTAACAAGAAAGGCTACAGTTAATTTGTTTTCCAATAACATTTTCTTCTAGCTTCCAAACTTTAAGCATTGATTTAGCTGTGCCAAAACAGAGCACTACTCCACATTTCTCTGTTTTATTGAGAAGCAATCTTGTTCCAAGCTCATCCTATTTTTCTGGCTCATCATGGTTCAGTTTCTTTCCACCCTTGCTCAGTTATGTCACTTTTGAGGACTGTACTTGATTTGGTGATTCTGTCTCTCTTTTTCTGTTTGGTTTTATGAGCAGCAGCCCCATTCTAGGCACTTCCCATTATCCTGGCACGATCAAACTCTGATTTTGATTTAAGTTATGATAAGAGGAAGCTGGTGGTCCGCGCTCCTACCATTTAGGAGGAGTTCTTGATCAAAAAGACAAACCCTCTAAAATAAATAGTAGATGATTTTTAGTCTGTGTAATGTGGCTGAAAGCTATAGGAGTGCCTGGTATTGGGGTGGTAGAGGTAAGATGTTAGCAGCATCCCAGTGACATAGAAGTATCCTGCTGACAGTCATGGGACTTGCGCTGCTAAAGAAGTAATGGATCTTTGGAAAATCCCAACCCTGCTGCCTAAATATGGCTCTAGGTGCCCAAATTCTTCATGCCTAAGGGCAGTGTAGACAGCTCCTTCTTGCGCAAGAGCCTCTTCTGTAAAAAAAAAAAAAAAAAAGGTGGCTCATTAGGTATGCAAATGAGGCTCAGTGATAGTCCACGCTTAGCCTCATTTGCACATTTCTCACGCAAGAAGCCGCGAGTGTAGACATAGCCTTGGATTTCTATAAAAACCAAAAGGTGTATCATTTGGTTTTCTGCGTGCATGTGCCCTTGGCATGCAAATCACCATCACAGTGAATGCTAATTTGGCTCTCTTCATTGATGGTGTCCCAAGCAGTATTCTTGGTGTACTAGAATGGCATGGGAATCCTGTTTTGTTGCTTCCTTGACTGATTTCACCACACCAGTCTCAGGGAATCTTCACCTTGACAGAGGTTTGGGTGCTCTAACACATGCATCTTGCGTTCTTCAAGGTGCACGTTACACCTAGAGATACATGCAGTCTTCCTTCCCACACTGTCCCCTTAGTGCGAGTATTTACCTTTAGTCGTGAAGGCACTTAATACCCTTAATCAGAGAGGAACTGAAACTCTCTCCTGTCTAAACAACGAGGAGTCCTGTGGCACCTTATAGACTAACAGATGTATTGGAGCATAAGCTTTCGTGGGCAAAGATCCACTTTGCCAGATGGATGACATGCATTTGACGAAGTGGGTCTTTGCCCGCGAAAGCTTATACTCCAATACATCTGTTAGTCTATAAGGTGCCACAGGTCTTCTCGTTGTTTATGCAGATTCAGACTAACACGGCTACCCCTCTGATACTCACCTCCTGGATTGCCCCTGTGGTTAGTGATCGGGTTCTAGGAGTGTCTGCTTCTATCAGCTGCTGTCCAAGGGTGGATGAAGACCGCGCTGACATGTTTCTATGCAGAACTGTGAAGGAATAATGGGGAGAGAGGCCTATTCCTCTTTCCTCAGCTGTGAGAGAGCACGCCGGTGCTGTTAGCCTGATCCTGGACTCTGTCATGCAGCCTCACCGATGGTTGTCTGAGCCAACCTGGGTTCTCTCTGCTGCACATTTTGCCAGTCTTGCTAAATCACACGGGGTTTCCAGAATGTGGGCAAACAGCTGGGCTCTCCGAGCTAAAGGCCTAATGAGCCATGGCCATTCTGAGTGGAGGAAGCTTTCCCAAGGGGAGGGGGGGGGGCTGGTTTAGAAGGCTGGCTGAGCAGTAGAAAGTTCGTCTGGTGCTGACGGTGGCCAGCTGGGCCGCGGGAGGCTGTTAAAGAACTGAGAACTTTCTTTCTTTGCCACGTAGCTGCTTGACCATGAAGACGCTCTGCCAGTTGCGTGTGACCCCGTGAACGTGACCCATGGCTATGTGCCAATCAAGGTAGGTTATAACTAACGGTGTGCGAGGAAAGCGATCTGGATAGCGCAGTATCCCCGTTCTGTGGTGGCAAGGGCCCTGCGTAGCCAGTGATGGCTCTCTCCGTGCATCTGTGAGGAAGAGGAGCGGTATGAAGGGTGGGGGTACAGTGTACAGTGCTTCACGGGAATGGGCTGAACATCAAGCCAATGAAGACTTTACTGTGGAGGGGAGGTTTTCTGACTGCGTGAGGCTGTTTCCTGAAGGCTGGGCCAGAAGCTGAATCATTTCAAACAGGGCCAGAGACAGCACTGGTCTGGTCTGTACCACAGAGTGAGCCAGGCTACAGGAAGGTGTGTGGAGTAGGGGGGGAGGGATGTTTGCAGCCAGGGTTTCAGGTGCTGGAGGGCTGACGACCCAAGCGTCGTAGTGCCAGGCCCTGTGGCTGACTGCCGTACGCCAGTGCACCGCAAGGGGTGGGTGTTACTGCTAAGGAGAGGAAGGACTGGGAGTCGGGAAATAAACTTGCAGTGTGTCTTCCCTCTAGCCTGGAACCCAGCTACATTTTGTCGAGATGGGGAACGGCCCCGTCGTGTGCCTCTGCCATGGTTTCCCCGAATCCTGGTTCTCCTGGCGGTACCAGGTAATGCAAAGCCGGGCCAGACGCTGGCAGAGTGTTCTCGGGTATGGTCACCCCTCTCTGTGTAGTCTGTTGTGCAGCAGTGTGGGAGGAAGTGGGGGTGCGGGGACTCTGAGGTGTGTGACTATTTGGGGGGTGCCACCTGTGACTCCACCTTGTTCCCGGTACATCTACCATCTTCATACGTGAGTTTCGCCCTCCAGCTTTCTGCCACCATCTTCCTTCCTCCCTTCTGTCTCCTGCTTTGCTCCTCTCCCAGCCCCCTCTGCTCTGCTGTAACAGCCGACATGGCCGGGGCCTCTGGCTGGGCTGCGATGGCAGCTGCAGCCCCCCCTTCATCTCTTCAGAGGAGCGAGGAAGCTGCCCTCGCAGACTCGGCGCCGTAGCAGACTGCCTTGGCAGGTGGTAATCGCCGGGTGTTGAGGGGAGGTCCCTTGAGTGGCTGATGCCCTGAGGGGGTCAGCGAAGTGAGTCTTGTAACAGCATCCGGTGTTGGGCGAGGTGCCCGCTTCCCACGAAGTCGGCTGTGAGGTGTAGCGGTAGGTGCTCGCCACACCCTTTATCCTCACCGCAGTTGGCACCTCGCTCCTGCCTGCCTCCCCTCACTGCTCTTCCAGCCTGGTAGCAAGGTGGGTGGCAGAGCTGCTCCAGGGGACCCTCAGGCAGAAGAGGGGGGCTGGGGTTGGGCTGCCCTTCTTCCCCCCCAAGGCAGCCCTCGGAGCTGCCCGGAGCGGGCAGTGTAGTGCTTCAGCAGCAGCGTCAAGGGCCCAGGGCTCTGACTGCTGCCGCAGTAGCAGCCACCAGGAACTCAGGGCCCTTCTGTATCGCTGGGCCTTGGGGCAGTTGTCCCCTTTTGCCCCTCTCTGCAGGCCTGCAGCCCGGGCCCTGCACACAGCTCCGCGGGGCCACCTGTAGCAGCCCCTGGTGGCCAGCAGTGGCATTGCAGGCACCCTCTGTGAGCCTCCTAGAACTCCACCCGCCCTCCCATGTGGCTGCCAGCGCCCCGCCAGGGCTGGCTTAATCCAAGTGATTCGCACAGTCCTCGGGGACCATTAACCATCATAACCCATGAGGTCAGACCTCGCCCTTGTTTGTCAGCCACGCAGGGAGCAACCTCTGTCTCTGGCTGTTGCACCTGAACCCATCAGTCCCAGACCTCTGCAGCTGGAGCTCAGCCTGGGGCTTGGCTTTCTTCACTCAGCCACACCTATCCTGCCTGCCTGCTTGGGCCCCCCTTGCTTTGGCAGGCCACTGCCAGAAGCCTCGAGTTTTTGGCCCTGGTTTCCAAACCACTTGATACTGGGGTCTTCCCTGCTGGGGCCTCTGTTACTTCCTGCTGTTTGCCCTTCACTGCAGCTACCTGCTGCCTTGCACAGGGAGTTATCCGGTCCGACCCAGCACGGCCGTGAGTGAGCAGGGTTGGCTGGCACCAGGCCTCCAGCCCTGAAGGGCCGAACCAACTTGTAGCTGCACCTCAGTCCTGTTGTGGCCTGTGACTGAGCTCCACCCCTCGAAGAAGATCTCCCCCAGCCCTTGTGACCTGCAAGGCATCCAGCGAATCCACTCCCCTCACGCCGAACTAGGGCCAGGCCGTCCGTTTTTGAACCCGTGTCCAAGAGAGGATTGCGCACGACCGAGCTCTGCGCTCCATCCCTGTGGCCCCCTCGCTGATTGAATGTCTAGCATGAAGTTCATGTGCCCTTTCCAGCGCCCAAGGAATCTCTGCACTGATACAAGGTTTATTCTTTCAGTCTGGCCTCTGGAATTTGCCCCAGCCGCAGTCTAAATGCCAGTGTGTTCATTAGTAGTTGACTCGCTTCTTGTTGTCTTGTCCCGAGACATCTATCAGGGATTTTCTAGGCAGTCCCTGGTCCTGCTGCGAGGGCAGGGGACTGGACTCGATGACCTCTTGAGGTCCCTTCCAGTTGTTGTGTTCTGTGATTCTATGTTCTTACCTGGTTTGGATTGCCTGGCCGAGTGTTTGGCTGGCTACAGTAATTTGCTGGAACGGTGCCTCTATTTCTTGTGCCCCTTCTGGTCTGGCATGTGGAATTGATGTGGCATCTTAGCTTTCATGACTGACGTGCCGTATGACGTGACAGATGCTCAAAGGGGACAGTTCCAGTCAATGTAAGTCCGCTTCCCAGCTGTGGGCTGAGCTACAGTGAACACAGATCTAGTTCCCAAGGTCACATGTTTCTTTGTTTCTGTTCTAGATCCCTGCGTTGGCTGAGGCTGGCTTCCGGGTCCTTGCTTTGGATATGAAAGGCTATGGAGATTCCACCAGCCCCCCAGGTCAGTTGGGTTTCCCTTCCTCTCCTCCTGTCCCCTCAGAAGGGGTACACAACAGAGGGCAGAGCTAAATTGCTGGTGGTGCAAGGCCCTTCTGGCGTGTCTGTGTCTCCGGGTCGGTGTTGGGTTGTACTATGGTGAAGTTGAGCCAGGAGAAGTTGAGGCTGAATATCGGGCAGAATTCATTCTTGGTGAGAACTGTCCAAGCTGTGCAGGAGTCTCCCAGGGGAGTTGGTGAAAGTCCTGATTCTTGGGAGAATGTCCCATCCTTTACTAAAGTCCCTGGGAATATAGGGACCGTAGGGAAGAATTGCACCCTTGCGGGGAGATGACCCGGATGGCTCTTCCATTGCACCAGCGTCTAAGTCTGTGACGTGGCACAAACAACAGCAGACTTGGCACACGCTTGGGGTCTGCATGGGTTCTGAGAGTCTCCCGGTGTGATGTGTGCTCAGGCTGTGAGGCTGTTCCTTCTAGTGTGTCTGAGTGGATCTGAAACCCACCTGAAGCAAGGCAAGTAAATACAAAGTCTCCTGGTGTTTTACATGGTGTCAGTGGAAACCGCCTGGTGCATACGTTCTACTGGTGCTGCTCACAACATGAGCCATCAGCTTCTCCATTTAATTTCCCATCTCTTTCCGCTCCGGCCACAATCTTCCCGTGAACTTGCCTGCAGGATGCCTGGGGACAGTAGCTTGGAGAGGTGACTTGGCTGGAGATAGCCAAGTGTCTTTAGCTTCTAAGCTGGGCAGGCTTGGCCGGTACTTGAATGGGAGACCTTCCAAAAAGATTCAACGTGTTGATCCAGCCGCCGATGTTCTTCCTTGACCCGTTCCACCTTTGGCTTCTGCTGCCAACAAGTGGTGATGTTCCTGATAGCTCTAAGGCCAGAAGGGATAGTACCGACCCTCTTGCCTCTCCCCGGTGCCAGCTGGAGATTCTTGCTAGCTGGCTGGTTCCCTCATCAAGAGAACACTCTGGCTACTGGCAGCTAACACCCTACAAGGTGCTTGGCATGGGCTACCAAACAGATGCTGGATCTCAGTGACTTTCAGTCGCTATGTGTCCGGGTTGGATTTGAACTAGCAAATTGGGAGCGAGAGGCTCGGTTACTGATTCCCTGAGCCAGCTGGAAGCCTGGGGGAGGAGCAGTCCTTGCTGCGATTCATGCTCCAGTAGCGAGGGTGACCAGCGGTCCCATTTTTAAAGGGACCTGTCCCATATTGAAGCCCTCCTGCAGGTGTCCTGACTTCTTCAAAATGGGCAGATTGCCCCATATTTTCTGTCTCCCCCTCATCAGGACTGGTGGGTCCTGCTATTGGCTGGATCCTTGCTTGCTAGCCCATCGGCACGGAGTGGGCTGGAGGGGTTCAGTGGCCGATGTGCGTGGCTGATGGTGGGGAAAGACGCAGGGCACACGGTCGGCTGCTGGTCCATCACTGCAGCCCGCACTGTGTGCCGGCTCTCAGACAGCAGGGCCCCCTCCCCATCCTGTTTCTAGCTGGCCCTGGCTGTGGGAAGCATGCTCACCCTATGGATAGCAGTAGCAGTGCAGCACATGCCTGCATCCCGAGGCAGCAGGAGCCGAGTGGCATCCTCGCTGGTAGAGGGCGTTGGTTACTCACCCCATGCCCACCCTGCTGCCCCGGGTCTTCTCCCCGGGTGGCTCTAGTGCAGAGGTTGCTCGTTCTAGCCGGGCTCGGAGGGAGGCTGCAACTGCATCGTTATGCAAGAGCTGTGCCAAGCCAAATAGCTTTCTCTTGTACCGTGCATCTTCCTTTCTGCTTCAGCGCACTTGCTCCTGACTCTGAGCATGAAGCGGGGCTGGAGAGTGGGTGGTGCCAGGCCTTGTGAAATGCCAGTGGTAATCGTGAGGGCTGATCAGAGCAGCAGCCCTTGCTGCTGAGCACGTTGTTCATGCGACACCGTTTCATTATGAATGTTGCCGTGGCGCCCACCATGGCGCAGAGGCCAGATTGACGCCGGTGGTTAGGTACCTAAAGATGAGGGGGCATCTAAGTCACGTAGGCAATTTTGGAAGTCCTGCTTGGCCCCTCTTTGTATCATCAGGCCCCTCGCTCCAGCCCTGGGTGCTCTTTAGATCTAGCAAAATACAGACGGACGTCAGCCCAAGGAACTTGCAGGCTAGAGAGAGAAGGAAGAAAAGGGGTAATAGCTACACGTGATTGGCGTGTGCAGTGTCAATTCCCTTTTCTATAAACTTTGCCGGTGCCTTTACCTAAGTACTCTCAGTGCCCCTTGTCCTTTCTAACGATTACCTTGAGCCCATTTCTAGGGATCACAGTGGACCACAAGCTAAATATGAGTCAACGGTGTGACACTGTTGCAGAAAAAACAAACGTGATTCTAGGATGCATTAACAGGAGTGTTGTGAGCAAGGCACGAGGAATCATTCGCTGATTAGGCCTTGGTTGGAGTATTGTGTCCAGGTCTGGGCACCACATTTCAGGAACGATGTGGAGAAATGGGAGAAGATCCAGAGAAGAGCAACAAAAATGATTGAAGGTCTGGAATCATAGAATACTAGGACTGGAAGGGACCTCGAGAGGTCATCGAGTCCAGTCCCCTGCCCCCATGGCAGGACCAATACTGTCTAAACCATCCCTGATAGACATTTAGAAAATAGGAGCGATGAGGGAAGACTGCAATAATTTGGGCTTGTTTAGTTTAGAAAAGAGAAGACTGAGAGGGAGCATATTTGAAAACTGCTATCTCAAAGGATGTGATGAGGAGGGAGAAAACTTGTTCTTCTTGGCCTTTGAGGATAGGACAAGAAGCAATTGGCTTAAACTGCAGCAAGGGAGGTTTAGGTTGGACATTAGGAAAAATTTCCTGCCTGCTAGGGTGGTTAAGCACGGGAATAAATTGCCTAGGGAAGTTGTGGAATCTCCATCTCTGGAGATATTTAAGCTCAGGCTGGATAGACATCTATCAGGGATGATCTAGACGGTGCTTGGTCCTGCTGTGAGGGCAGGGGACTGGACTTGATGACCTTTCAAGCTCCCTTCCAGTTCCAATATTCTATGATTTCCTTCCATTTGTGTCCTGGTCCCCTTTCATCTGCTCCTTGAGTTACACCCACTGCCATGTTCATTGATGCACTGGTAGCTCTAAGACCAGACGGGACGGTGTTGATCCTCTAACCTCTCCCCGGTACCAGCTGTAGACTCTCGCCAGTTGGCTGGTTTCCTCCTCAAGCCCGAGAACAGGTGGTTGTTCCTCGTGAATACAGTTGAAAATACTCATTTACTTCCTGTGGTAAAGTGTCCCGGCGCTCCCGACGTTATTTAAACCGGGCCAGCCCATCTGAGCTGCTGGCTTGGGAACGGGTTGAGCACAACAGGGGCACTTTTTCAGAGGGGCTTTGCCCAGACAGCATGAGTGTGAGGGAACCAACCCCTGCTGTAAGGCCACTGCAGTTCATTTCTTTCCGGTAGTGAGTACAAAGGCCTCAGTTTGCTTAGGATCGCAGGCCGGGGCTGGGGACCAGAGGACGCTGTTGATACGTCTTGGTGCACGGATGTGAGCTCTGCTCTTGATGAGCTAGCTCAGTGTTTCTCAACCAGCGGTACAAGTACCCTTAGAGGTACTCGAGAGATGTCTGGGGGGTACGTCAACACCACTGAAATTTGGAGAAAACTGAATTTTTGTTCTAAGTTTTACAGTATTTTATTATTTTTGTACTTTTTACACCCAAAAATGTCATCGCTTGCCCGGCTACAATTAAGTTGTTTAAACAAATGTGTTGCAATAGTAACAAAAAATGTTGTTTGTCTGAAAACTGAAGATACTGGGGGTATTTACAATTTTTTTTAAAGAGGTACTTTATTTTTTTTAAAAATTGAGAAACACTGGGCTAGATTAGCCCTGAGCCACTTGTCATGAAAGCTCCTGGGGGCTTTGTTTGCAAGACTTTCTAATCTTTTTCATCTACCTAGTTCCTAGCAGCACCGTCCATCGCTCTAGGGGCAGAGTGGCTCTGACTGTTGGTGTCCTGGCCACGTTCCACCTTGGGAAGCTACAGCGCTTGCTGTCACCTTAAATTCCCCGGTGGTTCCTCCCTGCTTCTCCGCAGCAGGGCTTCTAGCAGGATGATTCCGAACACTTGCCGGGAGGGCAAATTTAATGAAGAACCTGAACCCCAAAGCACTTGACCTCCTGCCATGGAAGGATCATTCCCCTCCTCACCTGCTCTCCCACCACTAACATGCACCCACCTCTGGGGTTAAACCCAGCCAGAGCTGGCCCAAGCTACTGGCTGACCGGGCTACCGCCTGGGGCGCCCCATTGTAGGGGGCGCTGTGCGGGGCTGCCGAACCGGGCGGGGGTGGGGCCGCGCATGCGCCGGGCATACGAATGGCTCGGGCCGGCCCTGGTCCCAGCCACCACACTTCATCAATGTTCCAGAGCAGGCCTATCGCAATCCTAGGGAAAATCCTGCCCCACCACTGCTTGGCTGATGAAATGAATCGTGGGGTGTATTGAACTTTTGCAGAGCTGCTGGGAGCCGGGGGTTTGCAGCCTGGTAGACGGCAGATTTAAAGTGTTAAAAAATTAAATGGAAGGACATTTAAGTGACTTAAATAATTAATTGTTGTTGTTGTTTGCAGACATAGAAGAATATTCCCAGGAAGCAATATGCAAGGTAGGAGACTCCTCGTTCTGGGTGTGACCTAGGTCTGGGTGTATTATGGAACCATGGTCCGAGCTCCCGCGATAAGGTTCTAACCCGTGTGTCCCTGCTGGTGGCAGAAGCGGTTATGAGACTGGGTGGGAGCAGAGTGGCTGTCCCAGGGCTGGTCTTTGCTGCTTGAGTGACAGCTTAGGCAAGGGGTGCTGTGTAAATCCGACTGTACAGTTAGCGGTTTGCAGTCCAGAAAACCCTCACCATTCGCGGTGGATGTACTTCCTGGCGCCACCGTGAATGGTGAAATTTGTGAGTACTGGGAGCTGTGGCTCCTGAACTCCCTGCGGGGGCTGGGAGCTGTTCTCCCCCCTTCCTCCTCCTACAGGCCAGGGGACCTCCCCCCGTCCCTGGCGGATACATGGGAGTATGAATGGTGTTTCTGTGAATCACCAGGCTCTTCTGTATGGAACGGTGAAGCGTGCTTCTTGTCTGAGGCTACCTGCAAGATCGCAGTTCCCACCCAGGAGAATAATGCAGGAAGAGGTCTCCTTGTTACATGAACTTCATTAGTAGTCACAGTAGCACCCAGGGACAAAGATTAGGGCTCCATATCGACACTCCATATAAACCTCCTTGCAGGAGGAATAACGGTAGTTTGAATTGGAGCTTTAATTCAAACTACCTGGTCCGTGCCGTGTGTAGCGGCAGGTAGTTCGAACTACGGGCATTTAAAAATGGCGTCCACCTGGCAACATGCAAATGAAGCCTGGGATATTTAAATCCTGGGCTTCATTTGCAAGTTCGAATGTCTACATTAGCCACCCTAGTTCGAACTAGGGTGGCAGTATAGACATACCCTTAGAGAGGGCAAACAGCCTTCAGTAACCTGCTGGCACTTAAGATAGTGGCATGTTCATGGCTAAGAAATTTGATTGTTTCTTTTTCTCCCCTCACAGGATCTTGTGGTTTTCCTGGACAAGCTGGTGAGAGATCCCTCATGACTTTACGTTTTTCCTTTGTGTGCAGAGATGTACGAATCCAAGTGGTGAGATTGGTTTGGGCCACAGGAGAACGGCACACCCGGAGATCCTGGGGGTGGGGGGTGGGGGGGGAAGCATTCTAAGCTGTAAGCATTCGCGAGCTACAGTTCACTTCCTCAGATGCTGAAGGGGGGGGGAAGGGGATACAGAGATGGGAGTGTGACATCAGTGCTAATGAAATCAAAGTGGGTGTGGTTTATTGCCAACAGTGATGAGAACGAAACTGCCGAGCTGGAATTCACAGGCAAATTTGGCCCCTTAAGCCAAGGTTTCAGTGGACACATGGAGTGGTTCTTGCATTACGGTAGAGGTAAAGGTTCCCAATCCGGCACACTCACCTTCTCCTTGCTGTTGGCGAGCCACATGCAATCTGATGTAATTAGCACTGGTGTGTCACTTCCGTCTCTGTATTCCCCTTCTTTTTCTCTTCAGTGTCTGAGGAAGTGAGCTGTAGTTACCAGGGAATGGTTAACACAGTACCTGGGAGCAAGGGCAGCTGCAGCAGCCCCAGTGGGGGGTGCTGCGAGCACCTGGGTTGGACTAGCCCCTGCCTGCAGTGGGAGCCACTCTAGCCTGACCCCAGTGGGCTGGGAGGCTGCTCCAGCCTCACTGAAGCAACCTCCTATGCCCACCCCTCTTTAATAGGTTAAATGTAGTGTGTGCATTACGTGTAGCCATTTAATCAATTACATGGAATTTTCCATCCCTAGTTGTAGCTCACAAGAGCTTATGAACTAACAGTGTAATAGATTTGTTCGTCTTAGTGCCATTCGGTTCCTTGTTTTTGCTGAAACCGACTAACACGGCTACCTCTCTGAAGCCTGTCTTTAAAAGATGTGTAATTTAGAGCTACCTGCCAATGTTTCTTTTCATCTTTCCCATCCATGTGTGGAATAAATATCTGTGCGCCAAGAGATGTGCAAATGCGCACCACCAGTAGAAACAAAAACCTAGCTGTGCGCACTGTGCTACTCAGCGGGGCGACGTTTGAATCCCTCCTGAGCGGCTGTACAAATGCTCAGCTTACGGGGGCCACCCATGCCTCTTTGCACAATGCTACCCCGGACTTGCTGGGAACAGCAGTTGCAGGCGGGAGCGGGAAATGTCTTGCAGAGCTTTAGCCTGCGTGCTCATGAATTAAGCGAGGGAGAGAAGACGAAAGGCAGATCCCTGGTGACTCACTGAGCAGCTGGAGTGGATGGTTTAATGAATTCTGCCTTTTTGCTAAGATCGGATCTGGTATTGGCAGAGGGATGAGACTGCTGGGCTTCATCTAAGAGATGAAATCAGTCATTGCAGTCTCTTCTCTTTGTATAGCAATTAACCCGTATAATTGTTGCCTTCGTCTAGCTCAGCACAAGTCCTTGGGCTTAGCTTTTTACTAACTGTGGGGATATACAATTCCCTGCACCGAAGGAGAGAGGAGGGAGGTGCGTTCATCTATCACGGGCAGTATCTATGAAGGGAAGGATGTTCCTGTGTTGTAGAGGACATGCAAAGATTTGCAGGTGGGTTCATCTGGGGGGGGGAGGGATTCCCAGCTTAAGTAGGCAGACACACTAGCTTTGTTCTGTCAAAACAGTGGTACAGCTGGGTGTGTCATGGCTGGTGGGTTGAACTAGCCGGCTAAGTATGTACCCAGGGGTTCTGGGCTGGTTTGCCCTCGGCTTGCACCACTGCTTGGATGAAGGATGCTCAATACCCTTGTGCCATTTGGAAGAGTTCATTGTAATTTGGCTGCGTTCTTCTCTAGAACAAGGACGGGCAAATACCGGCCTGTGGGCCGGATTCCATCTGCGGGCCCCCATGCTGCTGTGCCTCCACAGGTACGAGGGCTCACCGCTCCCATTGGCTGCAGATCACCTGTTCCTGGCCAATGGGAGCTGTGCTGGCCCGTACCTGCAGAGGTGCAGGTAACTATGGCAGCAGCGGCCCACCAGGGTCTAACCCGGGTGAACTGCTACCATTTTATTGCCCACCTCTTCTCTAGAACCTAGAATAACAGCCTGTTTCAGATCACTAGGGAGAGGATGCCAGAGAGTGGAGGCATGAGAAGGGTACTGCATGGAGAAAAATGGACAAGACGGGGGTCGATTCATCTATAGCAGTGTTTCCCAACTGGTGCTCCGTGGAAGCCCAGGGTTCCGCAAAGCGAAAGTAAGGGTTCCGCGAGAACGCAGCATTGCTCCACCCCCTCTTAAAGAGACAGAGTATTTTGCAGTTTTTTGTTTTTTTTGCTTGCCAAATGTTACTCTGGGAACCCTAAGGGTTCCTTGAAATTATTTTAAGCTGAAAAGGGTCCCGTGGCCCAATAAAATCAGGAAACACTGATCTATAGAGGAAATTGAATAAGAGGGGAACATGATGGTGGTTAACCAAACAGTGAATGAGTGCTCCTGTTTTTCCTCCCCTTGAGAAAGGGGCAAAGAAACTCGAGGCAAACATTTAAAACTTGATGAAAGGAAATGCCTTTTCACACAATTACCTGGCAGAACTTGCTGTAACTAGGCGTCAGTTAAAACCAAACATGGAATCGCATTTGGAAGAGACATCACAAGTCAGGATGGATAATGTGAAAAGAAGAAGGGATATAAATTGTCAGGCCTTGTCAAGCCACCCGCTTGCTGCCATGAGATAAGAAACATGAAGGGGCCCTTGCACATTTTTCCTGAAACATTTGTTACTGGACACTAAGGACAGGACAGATGGGCCCAATCGGAGTGTGGGCATTCCTATGTCTTCAGCCAGTAGATTGATTCATCTTCTCTTTTTGAGTAAACCCGCTCTTGCTAAACCTTCGGAGATAGAGAACATTTTCCTTTGGCACCTGAGTGGGTACGCAGCAAATCAGCAAATGACAAGGTCACCTCCTGCATGAAATAATAGACCCTCCTTCAACCTCTGGGGCTCTTCATCTGCCATGACAATATAATTAAGACAGTGCTCAGTGGCTTCCATCGCATTGAAAGAATAGGATCAGTCTCTACTCCTTTAAATGAGATGAACAGTGTGTGAGTTGGGGCGGAGTTGGGGGTGAGGGGCGAGGTGAGACAGGCAAATGTCTGTATCTGTAGAGTTTTTTCCCCTATATCCTAAAACTTCTGCCAAGAGAACTGGCCTAGCTTGAAGCTCTGTCCTGCTGTTTGAAGTGACTGTCCAAAAGGCCCCTCTTCAGCACCTCTGCGCCCTGCATATGTTGGTATTAGCACCATAGCTGACCCGAAGGACAGGGCTTCTTGCTTTGCGCCTTTATATTCTTGCCAGCAAGTTAAGGGAGTATGGATTGGATAAATGGACTGCGAGATGGATAGAAAGTTGTCTACATTGTCAGGCCCTACGGGTAGCGATCAACGGCTCGATGTCAGGTTGTCGGTCGGTTTCTAGCGGAGTGCCCCACGGTTCGGTTCTAGGGCTGGTTTTGTTCAACAGTTTTATTAATGATCTAGATGAGGGGATGGATGGCACCCTCAGCAAGTTCGTGGATGACACTAAGCTAGGGGGAGAGGCAGATACACTGGAGGGCAGGGATAGGGTCCAGAGTGACTTAGACTGATTAGAGGTTTGGGCCAAAAGAAATCTGATGAGGTTCAACAAGGACAAGTGTAGAGTCCTGCACGTGGGATGGAAGAATCCCAAGCATTGTTACAGGCTGGGGACTGAATCATTAAGTAGCAGTTCTGCAGAAAAGGACCTGGAGATTAGAGGATGAGAAGCTGGATATGAGTAACAGGGTGCCCTTGTAGCCAAGAAGGCTAATGGCATATTAGGTTGCATTAGGGGGACCATTGCCAGCAGATCTAGAGAAGAGATTATTCCCCTTTATTTGGCTCTGGTGAGGCCATGACCTGGAGTTTTGTGTCCAGTTCTGGGCCCCCCCTACAGAAAGGATGTGGATGCATTGGAGAGGGTCTAGCAGAGGGCAACCAAAATGATTAGGGGGCTGGAGCGCATGGTGTATGAGGAGAGGCTGAGGGATTTGGGTTTGTTTAGTCTGCAGAAGAGAAGAGTGAGGGGGGATTTGAGAGCAGCCTTCAACTTCCTAAAGGGGGGGATTCCAAAGAGGCTGGAGAGAGGCTGTTCACAGTAGTGACAGATGGCAGAACAAGGAGCAATGGTCTCAAGTTACAGTGGAGGTCCAGGTTGGACTTTAGGAAAAACGATATCCCTAGGAGGGTGGTGAAGCACTGGAATGGTTCCCTAGGGAGGTGGTGGAATCTTCATCCCTGGAGGTTTTTAAGTCTCATCTTGACAGGGCCTTGGTTGGGTTGATTTAGTTGGGGTTGGTCCTGCTTTGGACAGGGGGCAGGACTTGATGACCTCCCGAGGTCTTTTCCAGCCCTAGTATTCTGATTCCCTTCCCCTCTGCTTGGGCAGCCTTTTAATAAATGGGAAGACACCTGGATTTGACGTCAGATGGGCAAAAGGCCAGTCAGTCTTTAGTGGCATGGCTCCCATCTTCTGCTATGGGCCTGGTTCCGAATAGAATGAGTTGACCACGCCCAAAGCAGGAGCTAAAGAAAAGGAGAGGAAAACACAGCTGCTGCTTGCAATTGACTTGCTGAGAGAACATGGGCACATGGTCCCGTCAGCCGTGGCAGGACGCTGGCATCACTCAGCAGGCTCCAGGAGATGTCTGGCTGGAGTGCTGTGAATGCCCTGACCGGGTCCCCTTCACATCTTGTGCTGTCTTGTATGCAACCAAGATCAGAGCCCTACGGAGTCAATCAGCAGAGCTTCAGTACGGGAAGTAGAGTTCTACTAATTCATCCCAGTGGAGAATCTGACTCCAGGGGCTCAGTAAATAGCAAGACTCAAAGACTTTAAGGTCAGAAGGGACCATTATGATCATCTAGTCTGACCCCCTGCACAGTGCAGACCACAGAATCTCACCCACCCCTCTTAGAATAATCCTCTCACCTATATCTCAGATATTGAAGCCTTCA